CACCTTCGCGACGTGGAGAGGAATGACAAGGACACATCGAAACCAGTCGCTAGACATTTCAATTTACCTAATCATTCTAAGCAACATATGGCAATCTGCGGTCTTTCCTTACACTTAGGTTGCACGGAAAGCCGTAAAACTCTTGAACAAAAGCTCATCTTTCGAACCGGCAGTCTAAATCCCACACGTATCAACGAACGCTTTTCATTTCACTAATTTATTCGTGTTTTTCTCGTTGCCATGTTCCCGCCAATCACGTAGCTCCATTTTCTGCCTTTAAAAGCACACACAACCCAAAATTCCTCTATTCGCTCAGACGAAGGGCTAACGCTCGAAACGTCAGCTTTTATAATCTTAACGGTGGCCAATTTACCATTTCAACTTTGTTTGTATATTGAAATTATTTCGTTACCCCCACCGACGCCGCCCCAAACAGTTTCTTTAGAAACTTTCAGCCTTTATTCAAAAAATATAAGTTTATTTCTGTCAATGTACCAAAAAATGGTCAAAAGTAAATTGTAGAGGCGCGATTTTGTTTCTTCGGCTGCTTATCACTTCCAAACCAGTCAAACAGCGCGCGCAAAAGCACAATTCACCTGTGTGGTACTAAGCGTAAATACTAAGTATATACTATATATACTAAGTGTATATACTAAGCGTGCTTATTAAGGCGCGGTCAAGTTACAACCATTTTAACTAATGGGTTAGCTGTGCTCTTTCTGATCATAATTTTTTTACCGTCAAATTACACTAGGTTGACAGACTATGACCCGTGTTACGACTTTTTCTCTCTACGTATAGTACTGATAAGTGTCATCATTTATTTAGAAACCTTCCAGATGGGGAAAATTCACAAGGATATAGCAATGTTTATGGTGGATGCTGCCAAAAACCAAGAGTACAATGATCAAAAGCTCGTCAAGGTAATGACAAATACACCAATTCAGACCCGTACAAGAGACCTGTGTGAGCCAGATCGGTTGTTTATTGAAGTTTACAATTAGCAGTTTGACACCGGAAAACAATTTTTTAGCGAACGCTAAAGAACGAACGATTGAAGAAACTAAGGAAGGAACTGATTCATGAATAAAGTAACGAGCGACCGAAAGAAAGAAAGAACTAATGGATTAGGCCTAACGAACAAATGAACAAAAGGGATAAGTGTCGAAAGAAACTGTGTTGCTGCGTCGATGGGGATCCTATCAGGTAATTTCGTTTTATCAACTGAATTGATAATTCAAACAACAAACATATGAAATACATATATATGAACTGCGGTTATGAAACGTATATGTGCACGATCCTTCGCAGTAAAGCACTATTTAAGCAATAGTGAAAATCAGACCTGAAAAAAATTCAGGCCTGTACGGGATTCGAACCACTGACCTCTGCGATACTAGTGCAGCGCTCTACCAATTGAGCTAACAAGCCAACTGGGAGCAGGCCATCAAATTAATTCGACATAAACCCGTAGATGATAAATCAAACAACAATGCTTGTTAGCTCAATTGGTAGAGCGCTGCACTAGTATCGCAGAGGTCAGTGGTTCGAATCCCGTACAGGCCTGAATTTTTTTCAGGTCTGATTTTCACTATTGCTTAAATAGTGCTTTACTGCGAAGGATCGTGCACATATACGTTTCATAACCGCAGTTCATATATATGTATTTCATATGTTTGTTGTTTGATTTATCATCTACGGGTTTATGTCGAATTAATTTGATGGCCTGCTCCCAGTTGGCTTGTTAGCTCAATTGGTAGAGCGCTGCACTAGTATCGCAGAGGTCAGTGGTTCGAATCCCGTACAGGCCTGAATTTTTTTCAGGTCTGATTTTCACTATTGCTTAAATAGTGCTTTACTGCGAAGGATCGTGCACATATATGAATTGATAATGTGAATTAGCCATGCCAGAGTAAAAAGTTTCGACGTTTCAAGCGTTAGCCCTCCATCAGTCCCCATTTTGACCTACTTTCTCTTTGATTGTTTGAGTAATTTTAAAGGTGAGGAGCGAATGGTAGATAGATAGATAGTTTAGATAGATAGTTTATTATCAAAAACCTTGCAGCCACAGGCTGAATTACGTTTGATTTACAATAAAATATATACTACAAAAAATACATGGCTAAGAAGAACTAATTAATGGGTGAATGGGTGGTCTTAAAACCTTGCCCTCCGCCCTCCGCTCTCCGCTCTCCCTGCGAGAGGCTGGAAACGATCGAATGTTTTCGCTCCGTACATCCATTAGTTTTATTACCGCAGTATAGGTTTTTTTGTTTTTAGAGATTGAAACTTAAAACTGGAATTATTCTTTGATAACTTTTTAGGAATTGTCCGTCAAGACAAAGGATCTCGTAAATAATCTTAAAAAGCTGGCTGTTGAATCAGAGGAGGGTGGCAAGGCCAGAATCACTTTAGAGGCATTGAAACAACGAAAACTAACACCAGTTGTGGAGAACTTTCTTTTCAACTTAGCCGCTGCTGAGGGCTTGGTTTGACGATACCTTATTTTTGTATAATTTGATGATAAGGTCTGAAGACCCATTTCCTTGCTGACTGTAAAACATATTTGTGAGAATTTGGTGTTATAAAAGTTAATAGATATCGCGTCGTTAGATAAATTTCGTTATTTTCACCAACTTTCTGTTTTACATTGTCAGAAGTTGTATTTGGATCGCTTTGAAATCAAATATGCTTAGTGAATAAAATCTATTGGTGCATAATTCATGAGGGAAGACTGTCAAGATTATTCGAGTTCTATTGTACCAAAAGCAGTTCCACTTTCTCAGCGTTTTCTGTCGCACAAGTCTGTCGGGCAAACTTTGCGTGCCTTTCTTCCCAGAATACTCGTGGTGCTACTGGAATATACGTTTTTTGATATCTATCGCCTTTCTCGATGGAATCCGCTCCGGAGCGGGGCTGCTCAAAGCCACGAACTCGATGCGTGTGAATGCCAACCAATTTCCGGCATTTGCAAGTGATAACTGAAGGGGACTCACGTTTGTAGGAAATGAATAAAGGTAAACCTAATCTTTATGCAAACTGTGTGATAGTAATAATAAAAAAACTTTTTAGAACATTTGAGTACAAATAATTATGTTTAATCCAAGAAAAAATGAATGGAAAACAAGATTTCAATCTGTTTTAATATGATGAGATGTGTGATATTCTGTGATCGTGCAAGTATTTTGTGATCGGGTCTATGTTTAGTGAAATGTGTCTCGCCTTTTGATGGGATTAGTGTCTTTACAGAATGAAAACAAGGGAAGTAATACATTTATGCAACTTGTGTTCATTTACGAAGTGGCGAAGTTGACATCCACCAACTTCAATAAATTACGGGCTTACGAAGGAGTGAGTGGATATCAATTTCCAATGTGACGTTTTCTTTTTGAACAAGAGAGTGGTAAGTTGAAATGACAGTAAGCGTGGGTGTATTTCTCATCGAGTGAAAACATTAGGGATTGTATGATTGAAAAGTAAAATTAAAAAGGAAAATTAGAACTTTTCAATACAGTGTAATTATTTTAACAAGAAGTATTCAAACGGCTCATTCGCAACGAATACTTAATCTGGACCCTGGGATATTTTTAGATAATTTTTTATTTTGGTTTTTGCTCACCGAACACTGTGAATTGCTTTCAGGGAGCCTTGTAACTCTTGAGCGATAAACCTTTTCTCTAATTTTTAACGTCTTCGTATGGATGGCCAAACGAAAATCTTTGAAAAAATTATCATAATCAGATACAGCATTTCGTATGTTCAGAATTCACGGGTTGTATTGTATCAATCGTTGATATTCTATTTGCGCGGAAGAAGCACTGAATTATCTTTAACCATAAAAGCATTTTCTTCAGTGCAGTTAGCTTTGATTTTGGACTCGAACACTGCGCTTTCCATAAGTAACAGATTCTCCACGAATCACGGACTGAGTCCCCGTTCGCGACCTTTCCTCGACGACTCTTGACTCCTGGCATTTGCAAGGCCGACAAAATAATCTTTTAACCATCTTTGCCACATGCTCTCGCAATTCGCGTGTAAACGCCATGTACATAAAAGGATTTATAGCACTATTAAGGTTGGGTAGAATAAGAACAAAGATGTCCCTGACGGCAGAAGGTATGATTAGACGATTTCTGGTCTCTCGGTTGTGCCAAAAATCTAAAAGGATCACGATAAAGAAAGGCACCCAGCTAGCACAGAATATTCCAACTACACAAGCCATCATTTTCGCTGCTTTCAGCTCGTGTAAAATGCGGGCTCGCCGAAAAGGCCTGTCACTTTCTTCTGGACGGACTGTATTGGTTAAAGTCCGCCGGCGCTGATGTAAAGCGACTTTAGTGAGATAAGAATATGTTGCAATGAGGATTCCAAGGGGCAAGAAGAACGCCAAGCTCGCCACAAAAGTGTAGTACATACGATCATTTTTATGGCATGGTTTGAAAGTCTCGAACGCGTGAAAAGTCCAGTTATAATTACCAAGGGAAGCGAATATCACTGAGTACGTCCACACGAAGCATATAATTTTCAAACTGGTCTGTTTTGTGAGGAGAACAGGATAGCGAAGAGGAAATTTTACGGCGACGAATCTGTCGATGGATACGACGGTTAAACTACCCACAGATGAGCTACATGCAACCAAATCTACCCAGATCCAAAGCGCGCAGACATTAGAACTAATGCACCTGTTGTTGCGTAGTGTAAAGTAGATCCTGAATGGCATCGACAGAAGGGACACCAACAGATCGGCGAAAGCCAGAGAAACAATGAGATAATTTGTAGAGGAGTGAAGGGCGCATTGTATATAAACAGTAGCGCAAACACACAAGTTTCCACAGAATGTTACTATGCAGATGGCGATAAGAATCAATGAAAGTGCAAGATTTTTTGAAGTGGTGGGAAGGTTGCATAATTCGAGGTTTGAACCGTTAGAGGCATTGGTAGTGGCGAGAGGTAGATGGTTTGAATCATCTCCCGACATCTCTGTCACTTCCTAACACACAATTCTCGGAGCTCGAAGTTGTCGAGTGAAAGAACGAATTACAGTCCAGCAGATGTTCAATTTGGAGACTGTAGAACTTAACAATATTCTAGTGATTTTTAATAGGGTTGTGCAAATTGATTTTTTCTTCACTAATTGCATCGTGTTATGATCTGAACAGCCTTGACGTAACCAAACTGACAGATCCCATTACAAATTCTATTTCTTGCGTCAAGTATCACTGAAAACAAGGCCAGGGCAATTTAGAAAATAAACATATTTACTTATTTCAATTTCCGTGTCAAATGGCAGTCTACAAGAAAGTTCACATCAAAACATCCGCTGGAACTATTTGATGGTTATGAATCCTTCCGTTTATTGTATGAATTGCTTTGCTCTTCATGGTTATTTTAGTGGACCTTTGGCAATTGGAACTCAGTATTGTAATCTCAGGAAGCTCCTGTGAAAGTCTTTAAACGTGTTTCGTATTAAAATTTAAATATATGAAAGTTACCCAGATGTTTCACTGTGACTAAGGATTACACGTTTGCGATTTTTACAACAAAATACACTTATAACTGAATTTATTTAGGGAGAGATCGGTGACAGACACCGAAACGAGAGAAATTCGTTGAATGAACCGACGAGAGCTGGCCCGGAAGAAGAGGGGGTTCATTGAATGTTTTTAATTTTGTGCGTGTGAAGAATCTATTGGTTTGAACAAAATTAATGTCGGAGGTTTGTTTCAAAATTCAGGTCATTAAAGCTCCCTGAAGTCAAACAAATATAAATTGACTTTTGATGATAATGAGAAAAACCCGCTACACCTATGCACAGAGAATATTCTCGGCTTCAGTTACTGTCTTCCGTTTCTCTTCTGTACAGCAAATAAAAGTACATTAGCTGTTATTTTCGCGTTTACTTTATTTTTATACTCCACACGTTTCTTGGAATTCTGTTTCATCGTCTGGTCGATGTCTATTGAAGTGTTTTGAGAACAATGTTTCTCTCACACCCACAATTCTAAAACGGCAATGGACGTACTTAAACCTAGCCGATAGCCAAAACCAGCTTTTCTTGTTTTCATACAGCAAGAAGTATTGACAAACCCCTATACGTTGTTTTTCTGGTATTTCACTTGATCCCTTCAAATACAAATACAAAATAAAAATCGAAAGCCAATGAAAAGCATCAGGGAGCCAAATAAATTGTTTTGGTCATAAAAATAGCTAACTCCACAGTTTTTGAGAACAAGAGATTACATTTGGCATTTTTCTCTACACTATAGAGTGGAGCGGGGGGGGGGTTCGAAGGGGGGTGAAGAGATTTACAAACTTATCATTAACTATTGTTAAAGTAAACTTTGTTGCCATTTGTGTTCTACACACAACTACACAGCCAGCCAAAAAAGGAGGGAGTTCTTCGGTAAAATGAAAATACTGTAATTTTAATTCAGTAGTGTACCTTCAGTGCAGTATCAATTTCACAAGCATAAAAGTGATAGAAATTGTACAAGGTAAAAGTTCAGAGTTAACCAATCAGCTCCAGTAAATTTTGATGGTACAAGCAAGGTACTGAGCAAGAGTCTTTTACCCAGTTAGTTCACGTTGGCTACTATCTCCATTCATCAATAGCTACTATCTCCATTCATTCATAGCTGCTATCTCCATTCATTCATAGCTACTAACTCCATTCATTCATAGCTACTATCTCCATTCAGCTCAAAAGAGATAGTAAGTGATTGGGTCATTACTGAACTTGTTTTGATTCAAATGGTTGGTGAACCTTTAGGTACAGAAATAAATATGTTGAGGAGAGCTGAATCACAAACATTATAAGAAAACAAGTTTCAAAGGCTTCACATAATGATTCAACAAAAGTTTTCAAAATAAATAATATTGAGCTCTTGAGTGAATCTTTGGGCATGCTCATATTTTGCAAAAATGCTGACCGTGGTATAGTAAAACTAGAAACATTATTGAAAATTCTTTCCACTTTGCAAATAATTAGCGCATGCAAAATAGCAACCAAAAAACAGTGGGTTAAAGTATGAAAACAATAACATACAGTAAGTAACATGATTTTGACATTATATACATGTCACACAACTGATATTACATTTTAAGTTTCTTATTCTTAAAAATGAAACTGAACATCACTGTATCTGAAATTATAAAAATGATGACTTTTGACTTAAAAGGTTTACCTCTCTCCAATAGAAATGCTTCAATGGATTTTCCCTGAAAATTCTCTCATGTGTTATTCCTAATCATTTTTCACAGTTTGTTAACTTTATTCTTGCAACACCTGACCATAATTCAAACATTGTAACAGTGAGAATTAAATGTCAAGTTTCAAATTTTTCAATCTGTCAGGCACAGTACAAAGCCTTGGCAGCAAAATTGGAATGGGAGCCACCCACATAAAGATGCCTTAAATTGGCTATTTAAACTCTATGTAAATTTGCAACTGACACTCTTGCAACAAATGCAGCTTTTCTTTTCACATATCTCATAACATTGCCAAACCAACCAGTGTTAACTAATTGTAGTATGTAGTTAGTTCAATTCCTACTCCTAAATCCCACTTGTAAGCATTGTCATGTAGAGTACTAAAATGTCAACCATTTAAATGTAGCAATTGACTGATACAGTACTTGTGTTGCATAACTAGTCAATGAAAAAGTTTTAATACCATTGCTTGTCTCTAAAATTTGATTGACTAAATTTGAGTGTTTGGAGTCTTTGTCTCAGTCATGTCCTCTAACTGTTTTCAATTGTCTTGGTGGCTTTTAATGGATGTAATACTGTACAATCACACAGAAAACTTGCTCTACATTGACATTGCATAGTTAGCTGAGCCCAAAAAAGTTGTTATAGCATTAGAAAACTCAAGAGAATGCATAAAATATACTGCTGTAAAAATATTACTTACTCTAGGAATGCGTTTTTTATCATTTGCCATTCTTAGGTTGATACCTTTCTGAATGAGCTGGGTAACTGGACTTAACTGTTCAACTGCTAATGCTTTAGAGCCACGCTGATGTTCCGGGACACATCCTGTATCCAAATGGATTGCTTCACCAGTGGGCAAGGCAAAGTCCAGTTGAAGCTTGTGCCATGACTTCCACCCTTCATTAGGACCATACATGCACCCGTGCACTGTCATAACATTAGTGTACCCCGCACACTTGAAAAACACTATATCCTCCACAACATTCTCTGCAATTTTATCGGGAGTAAACATACTTTTTTCCACAGTTGTCCGCAGAATTGCATCAAGTAAAAGTTGTTTTGGTGCAGATCCCATGGCCCAAGCCACGTGGAAAAGCCTGTCGATACTACAATCAATACTCTTCAGTAATAATGGTTGTCTTCTGCAAGCCAGGAGATCAATTGTTTCCACTATCATCTTTGAGTATGGTGATTCTTCCTGATGGCAATTTTGCCAACCATGCAAAAGCTTTTGAACCTTGGCTTCAGCCTGAAGAGTTTGGTGGAACAAATCTACTGCTACTTGAACAGTGGCTGGGGAAGGTTTGATATTTCTCCCAGGGTCACTAAATCTAAGTCCGTGCTCTTCAGGCAAGTTTCCCTTGTCTGGAAAAAAGTAACAAAACCAGAGGAAAAATTGGTATGTTATTGAGGGAATAGTTTTGCCAAGTTCATTCTGTAGAAGTGTAATCACCGGTCTCATTGGTTCCACCGCCTTCCTTACTTCCTCTTCTTTCCATGTCAGGTGATTTTCGATCGTTTGTTTGCTAGAACTTTCTGATGACACGTTCAAATCTCCACAATTTACACCTATGTGTACCTCTGGATCAAACCTTTTCCCGTAATCGAAAATGTACGATGCGTTGATTACCATCTCCTTTTCGCAGCGTGGTAAATAGAACGTGACACACCTTTCCGTCGTAGTAGAAGTGACTGAAGGTCTTTTTTTTCTCTTGCTTTGTCTCTTGATTCCTCATCCAGGTAAGAAGTTTAGTGACCACGGGCCCATTCTTTCGCCAGACATCTATTATTCTGGGTGAGGAAAGCAAACCTTTAGCTTCGGTAAGCTGCAGAGCACTACAAACAACAGCATTTAACTCAGAGAATCTTAACTGCGCATCGATGCGTTTTTCTCTGGTTTCGACGGAACCTTTACAATTAGGGAAAGCTAACTCGACCAAATGATGCTTGAGGTAATATTCGGCTTTCGTTCTTAAAACATTTGGATGCACTGCGTTCTTCGTACTTTTGCTAACTTTAAGAAAACGTTTACATGTCGATACGACATTGTAAAATGATCCAGGTTCATCTAGAAAATACAGGATCAAGCGAAGACAGTCGTCGTTAAGCGACAAGATGGACGCCATAGAAGCTCTTTTTCACGTGGCTTACATTAGTTACCAAGCCTCCTGGTTTTCAAAGGAGAATAAAGGTGAAAACATACATATGTCCAGCGGATTTGGACCCCCTGGACTTGGGCCCCCGTTCCAGATTCGGATATGAACCCCCGCAACACAGCGGTCAAACACAATAAGAGAGTTTTACGAACACGTCTTTAGCGGAAAGTAAGGAGGAAAACATTAAATAATTCCTTGCTATTCCAATGCGTGAGACTAGACAAGCATTTTGGAGGAAGACTAAATCTTGGTCTAATTTTACTGTAAGAGCCTGTTTACATGGAGGGAGGGTGCCCCGGCTAACCGGGCTACCCGGCTAGAAGGGTTGAAACATAGCCCTCCTTTACATGCAACTCACCTAACCGGGACAGTAAGTGGGCTGCTTGGGCAATCTTTTGAGCGGTCGCTAAACAAAACAAACAAAATGGCCGACAAAAAAAAAACTTTTTGGCGGCAGGTTTGATTTTTGTTTCGCTCATTCCACTAGCGGCCGCATTTCAATGCCTAGGGCTGCTGTTCTGCACTTTGCTGCCATGTTTATCGATGTTTTCGCGGTTAATCTTTCCTTGGCTAGCCGGGATAGCCCGGCACGAACCGTTTACATGGTGCCCCGGGCAAGTAGACAGGGTGCCCCGGGTAGGCAGGCTACCCAATCTAGCATGTAAATGCTTCAAGCGTTTTGCAAAGAAACGTATGAGGAGTGAGCCCGCCCAGGATAGCTCGGTTAGCCGAGTAGCCCAGTTAGCCGGGGCACCCTCCCTCCATGTAAACAGGCCGTAAGATTTCCAAACTGTTTTTAACGTGGAGGCTTCGTTTCCGTGATGCAGGAAAATGACAAAACCATGCTGCCCATTCTACTTTCCGCTCTAAACATAGACCAGTTATCGTCATAATTGTCTTGTGTGGCTCTGGATTTTTCCCTTTTAACACATTTCTCGCGGTGTTTCCGCGGTGTTCCCGCGGTGCAACTCCACCATGAACACAGCAGAGAATTACTACTGCCAGCACGGCAAAACTTACGGACGACTTCATCTCGCTGCCGTGCAAAGTGTACAAAAAAGTGCGAGAGTGTAAACGAGTTTAGTCTAGAACAACAATGTGTGAAAGTTACGGCCTTAAAAACTTCGAATTTTCTTTAGAAACTGCAAAAGCTCTCAGGGCTTTTGCAGGAAAGAAATTCGCACCTGTAGTGCGGACGCTCCTTGGATCGACCATAAGCTGAAGTCAATGATACTGAAAAGACAAAAAGCGTTCAAATCATATGGCGCCGACTCTGCCCAATTCAAGTTCTTCCGAAATCTGGTTAACCGGGAAAGAAAGGCATGTAGAGCTAAATATTATGAAGTGAGAATTCAGAATTTAAGACAAGAAGCCCCAAAGAAATGGTGGGACAAAGTAAAGCGTCTGAGCGGCTCAAAAAGAAAAAAATGGCGACCTTTTGAGCCAGATTGACGTGGAAGGTTTTTCAGAATTGTCATAAAAAGAAAAGGCCAACACCATCAATGCTGCGTTATTAGAACCGCTGGAGGAGTACAGGCTGCCAACTCCACTAGAGTTTCTCCCCATGGAGGCGGATACAACACCAGAGATCCTGCGCGTGAGTGAACAACGTGTTCAGAAGGTTCTGTCTCGCCTTAACCCTGGGAAAGCGTGTGGGCCTGATAGAATTCCCAATTGGCTAATGAAGAAATATTCAGATGCAGTGGCTTTCCCAGTGACGGAAATCCTTAATGCCTCCTACTCCGAGCAGCATTTACCAAGAATGTGGAAGTTGGCTGACGTGACACCCCTACCCAAAAAGAAATCAGTAAAGGAACTGAAATAGGACCTAAGACCTATCTCGCTTACTCCCTGCATTCCTAAGGTCGCAGAAGGGTTTATTGTGGACGACTACGTCAAACCAGCAGTTATGAGTATCATTGATGACAGCCAATACGGGGCAATACCAAATTCCTCCACGACTATGGCCTTGATTAGCATGTTACATAATTGGTCTATTAACACTGATGGAAATGGTGTTACCGTAAGAACAATCTTATTTGATTATCAAAAGGCCTTTGACTTTATCGACCATGAAATTCTCATTAGAAGATTGCGCACTAAGTGTAAATTGCCAGTTAGTATTACTAATTGGATAGTTGGTTTTCTTTCTGATAGATTACAAAGAATTAAGCTGGCTGCGGAGTGCTTTTCGGAGTGGGGATCTGTGCCCTCCGGTGTACCACAGGGCACAAAATGGGGCCCATGGTTATTTGTGCTTATGATAAATGACCTTGAAATCGCGTATCCACTATGGAAATACGTTGATGATACAACAGCCTCGGAGATGGTACCAAAAGAGAGTGAAAGTCACGTCCAAAATATAGCAGATTGTGTTATTGAGTGGTCACGAGAAAATAGTGTTCACTTGAACTCTGATAAGTACAAAGAGCCTCGGATCTCATTTTCTAAAAGGCCCGGGTTCTTTGATCCCATAGTAATTGAAGGCAAAGAGTTGGAGGTAGTTGATAGCGTAAAACTCCTGGGCCTCCATATAGCTAGCGATTTGACCTGGAACAGTCATATATCAGAAGTAATCATAAAGGCCAGTAAGAGGTTGTATTTGTACGACTAAAGAGAGCTAGGGTTCCCTTACAAGACCTAGTACTTTTCTACACATCATGTGTAAGATCTGTAACAGAGTGGGTGATTGCGAGGTTGCTAAAGCCGATTTAGGAATACGACCTATCTTAGAGCATTACGAATTTCTATGTCAGAAGCTTTTTAAAGGTATCTTAGACAACCCTAGCCATAAGTTAAAGGCGCTTCTTCCACCCATACATAAACCCATCTATAACTTCAAAAATAAGCGCCTATTTAATATGCCACGCCTTTGCACTTCCAGAACGATGAACACTTTATATTTGCTATGGCAAAGAAGTCTAATGGCTAGATTTTTATCGATACGATATCCTTTACTTTTGTTACGGCACGCGTGATAATGATAGTAATAATAATGATGATGATGATAATGTAGATACTTTTAATTAATTTACATTTATTTTAATTCATTTACATTTATAGCTAATATATATTTTATTTAATTTATTATTATGTCATAATATTGTAAACTGCTGGTATAATAAGATGTGTAATTAGGTTTTCGAATTTTAAATTTAAATTTTAAATTTCTTGGATTGTAAAAATGTGTAATTCAGCCCTTGGAAATGCTTTTGAGATTAAACTATCTATCTATCTATCTATCTATCTATCTATGCTATCTATCTATCTATCTAGGCTTTTCGGATAGTCTTGGTCAAATCAGTTTAACACACAACTACCACCTGTCGAGTAGGTTATACAGTACTAAAAATCTTTCCCATTGACATTACAGCGAAAAAAGAATACATCATTACAGCGGGGCCGATATGAAACACTTTCCGGCGATATGCCGGTTTTCAATGTCACACCATCATCAAAACCATTCAACAAATAAAGTCAAGGATCAAAGAGATAAAAGAAGACGAATTTTCAGACAGTCTCGAAAAGATTCAGGTTTGCACAATGTTTCGTGTAGGAGATATTCAAAGAAATGTTTTACTCAAATTTACAACGTTTTGTATGGAGACTCCATTTATGTGTCCCTTGAATACTTATTCTCATACAAGGACTCTTCAGATTGTGAAATCTCAGCGGATAAGTCACTTTTTTAACCTTCGTGACAGCATTCTCGGCCGCCATTTTAATATCGTGTCACGCTAAAGGTTAGAAATTCAACCTTGCTTGATCACAAGACGAAAAGGCCTGTAAAACTGAAAATTTGCGAAAAGATAAGTCTTCAGCTGTTCTAGTAACTAACAAAACCAAAATCTCAAAAGGATCAATGATTTCTTATTTTTTAATTTTGATGACGTCAAGTGAAAAACCAGGGAGAAAGCGGAGAAAGTAGACTTTCCTATTACGGAGAAAGTTGTAGCAAGCGTGCAAGGATTTATCATTGATGAGAGACTGAAAAAGAGAAATGAATGAAGCTTTCCGATTATTTATCAGTTGGAAAATAATACACCATTCAATCAAGGAAGATCGATTACTGAGCCGGAAAAGGAAACTCAACCCGCTGTTCACAGGGATCTTTTGAATTCGGCCTAATGAGAACGGCTGAAAAATAAGCTGCCATAAAAGCATTTGGCATTTGGCATAAAAGCATTTGGCATTTGGCATTTGGCATAAAAGCATTTGGCATTTGGCATAAAAGCATTTGGCATTTGGCATAAAAGCATTTGGCATTTGGCAAGAAAGTTCCATTTTCGATGATATAAAGGCTTTATCATGGTACAAGGGAGTCACTTTATCAAATGTTTCATCTTTTACTGCGCAAATTTTCGATTGTATGTACTCTGAACGCAAGTGGCTGCGGGTTCAACCCTGCAATACATGCAGTTAACATGCCTCGAATAGCTCTATATAACTGACTGATCAACAAATCTAACCAAAGTTGATTTGGTATCGATGAGTCTCCAGAAATAATTCATTAAAAAAAGCCACCTTGATTTAATTTCCAGTTATGATAGCCATATTCAAGATAAATGCAACTTTACATTCATATCTCTTGTACCCCCTTTTCCACATGCAGTAAAGGAAAATAGTCTTTCAATCAAAGATTTTTGAAAGAGCTCCTTCGCCAGCAATCTTTCCTAAAAATCAGAATCAAGCTCTTGCACCTGATGTGGTGTAGGGAGCATAAGGAGAGACTTCACATTAAGTTTTTCAGTTGATTTGTTTCGTGCAACTTGCAAAATATGTAGGTTATGTGCATCATGAATCATTCTCACTGCGACTTTCCTCTGTTGATTAGAATGCTTGTCCAAAAGCTAAAAGAATACAATTGAAAACCAGGGAGGGACCGGATGAGATAGATAATAGTTGATAAAAATAATATCCCCCAGTTTGACATGATGTTTACAATGTCATTTAAATCTCAGTTTTAAATTCAAGAGCTCATTTGTGGGCCTTGGATGTTTTGGCTGGGCGTTTCTTCCTCCGCCGTTTAGAGTTCAACGCGAACTCATTTTTAAACGTCATATTCATTAACTCGCTGAGTTTCACCGGAGTAGGAACAGCCTGTGGGAAAATAAATAAAACACTCTCAATTAGAATTGATGTTGGTAACAGATGTTTATGAAGTGAATGGGCAACACAAAACCAGAACGTGACTTCCTTGATAAATAAAACGTCAAATTAATAAAAATATTTAATTCTTGAAAAAAGTACCTGGCTTACACACGTTTGTCGGATAGCGTATCTGTGGCGGCAAGTTGTATATTTTTCCCTTAGCGCCTTCAATGCTAAATACATAATGTTTTATCTTGTCGTTGTTGTTGTTGTTTAAAATCTGCCTGTCGCTTGAGGTATTTTCTCAGAGTTCGCTACATTCTAGTCATTTGACATGAGTACCTTGGAATTTGATTCAGTAGTCCTTACTGTTGCAAGACAATCTGGACACTTAATCGACAATTCGTTTTCACTGCATTCTGCAGCAGGGTAAATATGACCTGAAAGTGAACAAGAACAGATGTGTATGATGTGGAGAATAATTGCATCATGTCAGTGTAATGGTAAATAGCTCGACAAAATCGATCCGTGCATGTACAACAATTGCATTCACTAGTTTTTCCTTCCATTTTGCAGTTACATTAAAAACATTTTCAACAAGGTTTCACTAACCTTTCTTGCATTTGTACCAAGGGCCTTGTGTCAAGTGCTTTGACTTGACAATCTTGTCCCTTAACTCTTTAAACCAAACCTTTTCCTCCACTTTCTTTGAGAGCCCACGTCCCTGTTCTATTTTGTTGATACCATCCAAGAGCTCTACCATTTTGTTGCGTGCTAAAAATGAAAGGCATAGGATCATTGAGTTTATTTTGTTTGTGCTACTAAAAGGCAATCTCTCAATATCCACCGCTAGCCATAGACACTGAATTGAGTAGTTGTTTCAGTATATAATAAAACAGGGAGATAATATGGCACAAAAAGATGATTTTAACTCATCTATTCCTGCAATGATTGCAATCTTTTCGGGCGCAAATCCTGCGCGAGTCGCCCGGAGTTGAATAGCAAAGGATATTCGGACTCCGAGTAGCCAATCGGAGCGCGCCTTCAACGCTATCCACTGTTTTGGTAGACACTTGATTTAGGTATTTAAAGACAAATAAGTACTTGAGTATACAAGCAGAGCAAGTTGAGGGAATAGACTAAAAGATCAGGTGAGATCCCCTGATGCCAAGGCATCAAGTGAATCTGCATTTGTTTAGTGGCGAATTGAGATCGAAAAACTCGTACTCTTATTTGACTACAGTCACGAACATTCACACATTCGTTTTAATATTCAACTATTTTTTAGAGGAAACCACTTCTTGTCATGAGAACCTGTTGTAGTCTTACGTCGAAATTAAAGTAGCTTTTTGCAAGCTGAGTTTACGCGCAGGCGATTTGAACATTCGTTGGAAATTCATGAGTTTCAAAATTGCCGTCAATTAAAATACGCAATCTGTTAAGATGATACATTAACAAAACAAATCACATGTTAATAACATCTCTCACCCGAATGCTTCACTCACTTGTGAGAGATGTTATGAATACTCGAAGAAAAAATTCGTATCCACGCCCGGCCATGTTATTTCCTTTGAAAAAAGATTAATCGCACACGGGTTTTGTAAGTGTAACGGACCTTTAGCAAAATGACGACGAGAACGTGAACGTGACCGACCGGAAGTTGGGAAAACGAACTTCGATGCTACCACGCATGCCCAATCGAGCACGACTCGTCGTCCAAATCTCGTTCAGGACGCCGCCATTTGCCTCCATTTGCCTCCATTTGCCATCTTGAAGAGAACGTGAGTATGTTTTATTTGTTTTCTAATTTCCACTTACCTATCTTAGGGATTTCTTCAATCTAAAGGGTCGGTTGGGGAATAAAAACAGTGCCGAAAGTGATTTGATCGTACCGTGATGGAAAAAAAACTTGATTTCTTTCGAGTTGCAGATCGAGCTTTACAGTTTACAGCGGAGAAAGCAATGGCGGATGATGATAGAAGTGCTGCAGGGTATGTACGTATCCTTATAAATGCTTTTATAAATATAAATCGCGGGCATTTCGTTATAGTTTTGTAATTTATACCAGCTGTCATTTTTAAGAAGATTTCTGGGCTTTGAAAAATATCCGAACCGCTCGGATCGACTGTGTATGTAAACTCAGCTTAGCTCTGGATCACTTGACGTTGATTACAACACTGAAATAAAAGTTAAATTGTTTTAGTGGATAATTTTTGCATTTTCAAATTAGCAGAACATTTGACATGTTTTAGCCAACAGTGATTTTCAGCCGAAGAAAGTGAATAGCATAAAAACTTTAAGCTTATAAATAAACTTAAGTACTCAAAATTAAATTAATTTTACCATAAGATAAAGTTTATTGCAACAACACCAAATTGAAGATGTAATTCTTTACGTAATTAGAATTGTATTTTTTCCAGAAATTATTCCATGAAATGGTCAGAAGAACATGACCTTATGCTTTGTAGAGAGGTTCTTCTTGAACCATTTAAGCACCCAAGACAAAGTAAAGAGAGAGGGAAAATCTGGGGTGAAATAGCACTAAGCTTAAATGGCATCCGTTCACCGAAATTCAAAGTTAGTAAGCGCTCTGTGAGGGACTGGCTTACTCTTTTGCTAGCCAAATACAAAGAAAAGATGACAAGGGAAGAGCAAGGTTCTGGGATTGCATGTGATGATGAAACAGAAATAGAGATAGCATTGTCTGAAATCATAGAAAAAGAACAGGCAGCTGATTTAGAAAGGAAAGAAAATTCAAATACCCTTACTAAAAAGAATGAGAATGGCAAGGCCTCTGCAGAAGAAAGTAGACTAAAAGCCATGGAGCGCCTGGGACAAACCAGAAAGAGGAATGCTGATACAAGTTGCAAAGATGTCAGTCAAAGAAAAAGCAGAAGAAGTACCACTGAAGCTGTGCAAATCCTGAAAGAGAAGTTCGAGAATGAGAGAGAAATCCGGAAGGAAGAAATTGAACTGAAGAAGAAAGAGAAAGAAAATAAAGCCGCCCAGCATCAGATGCTTACAGATCAGCAGAGACAGAACCAGCAACAATACCAGATTTATTATCCAACTACACCTAGCTAGACGAGTACAAATAACGCCATAGACGAGTACAAATATCACGTGGTATTTGTACTCGTCTATTGTAGTACTGGTTAAACAGGTTTTTTCGCATCGCGTAAGCAAAAAATTGGATTTTAGTTACGAAAAAAAAAAAAGTGGCGGACAATTTGAATCATATTTCCGACGACGAAGAGTCAGAGTGGCTGGCAAATATAGATCCAAGTTCATTAGATGAATCAAACGAAGAAAAACAGCTTGACGACCAGGAAATTGCTTCAATTAATGAAGAAAATAGAAACAGCAACACAACAACGTGCCAATTCCGTTCAGCTTTGCATACTTCTGTCACTCACTCCACATAAATAAATATCCGCGAAATTCGCCCGCACTGAAATAACAGTTTGGCGTGTTGGATAATAAATAAAAGGAAGTAAAGACAGCAGAGTGACAATAACTCTCAAAAAAGAAACAACAATTTTGAGTTTAAATTTACAAACATGTTTCGACATTCTCATGTCATCTTCAGTTGCAAATGAGCACTTAACTGTTGTACATTTTAATTTATATTAAGGTACGTTACAAACTACGTGTCAGGGCTTACGTTACATTTGAATGTTAAAAACGCGAAAATTGTAAACCATCCAGGTTTTATGGGCTACCTAATATGCACAAGGCTCGGCAGCCTAATGAAACACCTCCTTTTCGACCCATAGTATCTTCAATAGGTACCTACAATTACAATTTATCTAAGTTCCTTTATGTAATCTTCTAGAGCCACGTGTCCTGTGTGAATACAACGTCCACGACACGTTTTCTTTTGTACATGAAATCAACCAGTTATCAACCTCAGGGAAGTTCATGGTATCTTTCGATGTTGAGAGTTTGTTCACTAGTATACCTCTTGATGAATGCATTGATCTGGCGATCAGATATATTTATCAAGGTAACTCTGGTCTTAAGATAAACGCCGCTGACCTAAAAACGCTTTTCACCTTTTTAAAACTTTGAGCCCACCCCCAGGGTCAAGAAAAACAAAAATGCCCAAGCTAACTAGGACTAAAGAGCCATTATTTGTAGAAGTGGGTGGTCTGTTTTTTCGTGTATCTGCAGTGTGTTATGCTCCTTCCTACATTCTAAATTTTATTCCCCAATTATTGAAAGTATTATTGAAAGTTCCAGAGTGGGGGGCTCCATACCAAAATAATCACTGGTGGTACTACCATAAAGGCAGGTTATGGCATTACGAAGCAGTGCGCAGACAACGTACATTCTGCCTACACTGCTAAGTCCGATTTTCAAATTCTTTTTATAGTCAAGAAATTTAAACGAATTAATGACATCCCCGAAAAGCCATTCCACTGAAATTCTTAAAGCACTCATAGCTTCGTTTTAATCCTGCATAATGGGTGCAAGTGGGACATGGCGAAACGGGGTTTGAAGGTGTACACGGAGAGGGTACGCTAAATCTCCATATATGCACATTGGTTGACCTGCTGGAGAAAAAGCATGCCGTTGGAGGTCACGTAATAGTCCAGAATCTGCTAGCATCTCTGCGTCGTGTTTACGCCCCTCTAAAACGAAGAAAACAAAAAGCAAAGGTGAGAGTAGAAGTTGCTTAGAAAGTTTATATAACTAAAAACCATAACAAGTACTTTTTATTAAAAAAAAAAAAACTCACCAACTGGTCCATATAAATTTTCAATGAGTCCATTTGGTAGAGACAACGATTGGAATTTCAAGGCATGAACCCTCTTATGACCATTATAAACAATTCTCTGACGTTCATCAGGTCTTGAAATGGGTCTGACAGTCCCGTACACGAAACCGAAGCAATTGTGAAGGGGGGCTCCGGTAAAGCCCCACGGCTCAGGAGATCTTGATTCCACTGGGTTATATGATTCCACTGGGTTATATTCCACTGGCACATGAACGTCATAGATGTAGTCGATCACATCATTTGTGATCAGACTTATTACAGAAACTGGTCGGCGGAATCATATCGGTAAGCCGGTGTCCTAGCGGATTTGGACCCCCCTCGAATTGGATCCCCGGGGTCCATATCCGCTAGCGGATTTTTAGCCCCCCTCCGCGGATTTGGACCCCTTTAACAATACAATCTTTTGCCTAGTATCTTAACTCTGCTGTTCATAAATTGTTCAGAATTTATTTTTTAAGGAAATTATTCGCCGTCAGATTCCCATACAAACACAGTAAATTTGGTGCTGACATGTCAGTCTACCCTAGAATGCAACGTGTGGCACCACCTTTTTACGTATCGCGTAATCGGCTTGGAGTTATCATCAAACCAACTGTTTACACTCATTTCAAATTAAGACTTAACAAGAGTCAATAACTTATTACATTAACAGAGTTAGCAAACTATTTGAGTTAACACTCACGCAAACGGTAAACGTTTTTCTTTTTTTGTCTGCCATTAAGCGTGTGTGAGAGAAATGTAAAGGGTTTGCGTTTTTCGTGAATTAATTTTTTTTCTTTTTGCTAAAATCTGTGAGATTTATTTAAGAAATCGATACAAATATACAAAAAATAAGCACAGCTCAAGTTTACCATTTTTATTCTTTCGATTGTCATTACTGGTTGAAACGTCGCAATTCACAAGGGCCAAATAAAATAACAATTTGTCTAGAGTCGAGTTTAAAAAAGTTCTGCATTTGACTTAAGGACGTTAGCGCGTGTTCACTAACTAAAGT